AACTCACTAAGGCAGTCCTTCAATGAAGTTAACATTTCAGGGTCAATGTCTTTAATGGGCAGGTACAATAATGGGTAGCTTATTGTTGTTTTTAGCCTAGGTTACTTTTTTTGGACAGTGCAGAGGTTTCTTCTCTATTTTCATAGCATTTTTATTTGTTAATTAACATTTCTTGGAGCAAGATATTTTTAAGAACGTTTTTAACAAATGCTCTCAAAAATTGGTGGGTAGTGTCCCCAGTGTAAAGCATGAAACAGAGAGCAGAGGGGGTGAAGGCTAGTAAGAGATGTGATTGGGCCGGCCCAGTGTGGGCCCAATGGGCCGCTGTCCGTGCTTTATGGGCCGATCATTGGCCCATCTTTTAAAAACAGTTATATAAATAAATAATTTACGTTGCAACGGCCCCAAAGGTGCGTCAGCCCACCGGGTATTTGCCTGGCATGCCAGATTACCAATCCAGCCCTGGTCAGCAGGATACCATGCTCACAATGACTATGCTAACATGCTGATGTTAGCAGGTGTAATGTTTACCACCCTGAGAGATCAGAATGGGTCTCCTGTAAGCACCCCTATCTGTCAACTACAACACCGGTCAAAATTTGAAGTCATTACAGAATATGTGAGGGACTGGGAAGGCTTGAGCTACTCCCAGCCATCTTTTTTAATCTGGTGAAGAAGAAATGGCTACTGGAGTCAATTCTTTTAGAAGGTGTGACTCTATTGTGCGTGGACACTTTTTTACTGAGGTATTTAGGTTTGTTTTTTCACTTTCGATTCTTTTCAATTGCCTTTCTGTCTCGCTCTGTCAACATCATGCCAATAATTCTGAATGCCGATATTGTTTTGGAGGATTTGTTGTGGCAGCACTGGTCAGGCAACATACCTGTATGTGTGATAAAACTGAGGTGATTACTGTCTGGTGTACAGTAGCAAACTGTGAGCTGATTTGATAGTTGTTGAATGAACCGATTAGCTTTGCAGCAATGTAAATATGCAGGAGGCTATTTTCCATCTGTAGTTCCCACCAGGTCAATAAAAAAAATGAAATATACAATACATCATATAATAAAAGACACCACAATTATCAAGAGAGTGATTATGCTTCACTAAACAGATCATGACCTGGTTACTAAATTAAAGCTTTTATAAAGTGCAAGTGAACCAGCTGTAAAGTGCAAAATGAAAGTTATGCAGTTTAATGTGCTGTTTATACGGTAAAGTGCCATATTATACAATTTAGTGCAATTTAATGTATGGAAGTGCTATTTACTGCAATAAAAGTGCTGCATCTAGTGTGGGACAGACACACACAATAAAACAGAGTCAGTAGGTGATCACATATTTGTGAGCCATTGTTGAAGATGAAGTCAGGGGCAAGTTGGGTATTCCCTAACAGCAGCCGATAACTTGTTCCAGATCTCAGTATACCCTTAACTGACAATTAAGCTTTTCCAAACGTTGCTCGCCGGGACGTCACTAGGAATGAAGGACAGGGAGGGCTTAGCCCCTGTCACACTCTGCCTGTCAGCCATACCTTGTTTTACACTTTCGAGTTTAGTTAATTATCTGTCTTATAGTATGTTGAGTTTTGGGTTCTGTCCTGTCTAGTGCCCGGTGTCCAGTATCTGTTATATAGTCCGTATTTTGAGTTTCAGTTATTCCTTGTGTCCAGTTACTGTGTGCTTGTGCTGGTTGGTCTGTTACTGTCTGTGTGTCTGGTTTGTGGCGATCTGTCTGCTTATGTCTTTATTAGTTTATTTTTCTTCCTCTGGTCTGTTATGTGTTCAGTAACCTGTGTTCCGTCTGTTTTCCCTGCTGTCTCTGCCTGTGCCTCGTTAGCCTCATGCTCCTCACCTGTGTTGCTCCCGCCCTGCTCGTTAGTCCCTGTGTGTATATACCTGGTGTTTCTGTCTCGTCTTTGTTGGGTCATTGTATGGGGTATATCTTGTGTTGAAGTATTTTTTGTCATGAGGAGATGTGTGATCTGTTTTGGATTTCTGCCTGAACCCTGTTTTTGGACTTTGTGGATGTTACTTTGGATTCAGCCACTATTTGTAAGTGTGCTCGCCTTTGTTTGTATTAAAACCCTTTTGAGCGGTACCTCCTCTGCCTTGCGTCCTGCGTTTGGGTCCTTCAACCTGCTTCACCGCACAAATCCGTGACAGCCCCCAGGATATGCATAATTGGCTTGCAAAATCTTTGCACTTGCATCTTGTTACTGTATTACAGCTACACTCATGTCAACAACCAGTGAAGAAGCTAAGATGTTAACAGGTAAAAAGTGACAGACATATTCTGTTCTTCCACTTATCCTCTGCTGAACTTTACTGTAGTGTTAGCTTTTAGACACACTAATGCTGCATAGGGGGGATTCACTACGTTCAGACTGAGTTTTTCTGTAGGCTGTGACTTAAATGCTACCCAGCTGCTCATGTAAATATGTGATAAAGTAATGCCATATCTAGTTCCCCTCTATTGGATAAGTTGCAGGTCCAACAACCTGCCAACAAATGTCTGTTAAAAGAAAACTACAAACTGACTACATTTCCTTAGACCTGTGGGCCACTACTGACCTGTAGACCACTATTGATTATTGTAGACTATTACTGACCTGCAGATTACCACTGGCCTCAGGATCAATCTTCTGCTTTTCTCTAAAATATCTTCCAATATCCATCTGGTCAATTAATTGAAAGAGATACTGGGACACTGAGACAACAGGGACACTGACATTTAATTTTCACTGGCAGCAATATTCTATGGGAACTGATTTTGTTTTGAAATCCTTTTAATAGAAATAAGTGGCATTCATGCTAGCTAGACTAGTGTTTTCCATAGCCAACTAAAATATCCCCTTTTCTTCAGCTCAAGTAAACATAGCTTAAGTTAAGCAAGTAATCATTAACAGCTTACAATTTCACTCTGTATCAGTCACAATGCTAGGTTTTTTTTTTTTTTTTTTTTTTTGTTGTTGAATGCACCTGTTGGGTGCTTTCCTCAGTTACCTCTTTAGGTAACATAGCTTTCTGCCAGATACCTAAGCTAACTGGCAGAAAGCTCAGAGTCCTAGTGCCTAACCACAGTAGGGGTCTAAATTATGATGCAGAGGAAACAAGGATTAGCCTATACTTGTGGAAACCAATTATATTTGTGTTCTACTTATCAATATTCTTGCTTCTCTTTGTCCCGGGGACCAACTCCGGGTTTTTATCAGTGAACTGACTGAAGAACTATCATGTGTGTGTTGGTGGGGGAAACCGGAGCACCTGGAGGAAACCCACACAGACACGGGAGAACATGCAAACTCCACACAGTCTCCTCTGAAGGTCCTGGTTGCAGTTCTGCCAGCACTAGTTGATTTTGGTTTAATGTATTCACTTAATGGGGTAGAGCAAGTCCAAGATCATATAGCGCTATAGAGAGGGAGAGAGAATTTAAACTAAAAATGTCAAACTTAGAAAAATTTTTTTATATGGCTCCTTTATAAAGTGATTCTGTTGGTTTGAGTGTTGCATTTGTAAGCTGGCAGGTACACAATTTGACATCTAAAGGGGCTTCAGAACCAGCTTTCCTTCTGGGGATTTTTTAAAAGTAAATTAATTAGGGCTTGGAAAAGGCATTATTACATTAATGCCAGCAATTTTATCAAATGTTAACAGTATTATTTTGAAAGTCATTGCTCACTGGCTCTGAATACACATACAGTCAAACCATGGGTCATAGGAGGGTTGGGATGTTGATCAGCCTGCAAATCACCCACCCAAACGAGCAGTGGAGGGAGGCTTTGGCAGACTAAGCTGGATGCAGCATGTGGGAGAAGTAGATAAACAAAAGCAACACAAATGATCAAATGCCATAGGGAAGCGGATAGCTACACACTGATTGGTAAAACTCACAAACAGCGAGGATCAGTCTCAAAACGATTTGTGCTGCGCGTTGCCTACAAAAAGTTCAAGACAATGCTTGTTGCTGCGCTCAACCGACCACTTCACCTCATTCTAACAGGACACTTGCTACTGAACATAGATCTTTTTATGCTGCACCCTGATAGAGGAAAAATGTCTCTGCTACCTGTTAAGAAAAAAATAAATAACAAAACGGATATATAGCCTGTTAACCTGTTGCTCAGAAGGTGCCTGCTATGATACTGTATGTTCATGGCTCTGGACTCTGATGGTAACTTGTCTTAACAACCTAGATAAAAATGTAATGCCCTGGCAGTGGCAAATAGCTTTGGTTTTATATTTGATAACATGTTTAAGTTGAGATTTGCAATAAATATTTTATTGCTATTGGAATACTTCTGGTAAAACACACATTTGTTTAAAGTGTTTGAAAACCACATGTTGTTGCACTTTTGTAAATGGCAGTACATTTAAATCAAAAGTGCACAATACACTACGTTAGAATTTGTTATTCAGTGTTGCGCAATGCACAACAATGTAATTGATCGTGATAAAAAAATTTAATTGTTGCCCTGCACTAAAATTAAAATACATACATCCCTGTTTGTACACAGCTTCCCTGTCAAACAAATATATTAACTGAATGAATAAAAAATAAAAATATCAGGTTGTTAGTTTGTAACACTGTTACAATACGTACAATAGCCTCCTGAAACACAATTCTTTGTTGGGTTCTAAATAAAAGCAGAACATGGGAATATATTTATTAGTCCCAAATATCCTGGAACTTAAACCTTGCAGTTCACAAAAACAATTATGTTTGCACTAAATCTACAAATTCATGCAAGTTTTAAATGCATTAAAATTCATAATTTATGCGAGTGTAGCCTAATTACTTTAAAACAATGTATTTAAAAAGTAGACCAGAAATAACTTGATGGAGAAACAATTAAAATTCATTCATAAATACTTTTTTAATCTCTTATTCTTTAATTACTACTTCCTCCGGAGCAGAAGGTGGCGGTATTGCGACCAGTATTAAAGACCAGAAGAAGGACTCCTATAAACAGTCCATTCACCCGGATACAGAAACAGTTTGGTGTTACGATCACAGTGGTGGGTGTATCTTTTGAAAAACCACCAAGTAATTATGAATACCACAAAAAGACCTCGGAACAGAGAGCGGCATGACGATAACAAGCGCATGAAGACTGGCAAGAGACACGTGGCTGTCCTGATTCTGGCGCGTGGAGGGAGCAAAGCGATTCCTCTAAAGAACATTAAACCATTAGCCGGAACCCCCCTCATTGGATGGGTGCTGAGGGCTGCTTTGGACTCCAAAATGTTTGACAGGTAGATATAATATTTAAAGGATCTGTTATGAGCTTTCACTGTGAGAATGACGGCCCAAAACCTGAAAGCACAAACCTCCAAACTTCTTTAAAACACACGCGCATTGTTTCCCTGCTTTTGGACGACGCTGAGGTTAGGTTCTGAATCAGAAAGTGATGGGAAAGTCCAGATCAAAATCCACTGTGCCTTGAGCTGCCAAATCTGGACTAGATTGTCCCAGAGAGGTTAAAAAAGTTTCTTGTTTGTGAAACCTTTATTCTATTTATGAAAATGTAAAAAAAAAAAAAAGGGTGAATTTATATGGTTTAATGAGGTGTCTGTGAAGGTTCTCAGTCATCCAGGTCATAGTTATCCGACGAAGTTTGAGGTCAAAGGCGACTGGACTTGTATCAACTGGATTTTGTAGTATCTTCAACCAAGTCCAGCTGCCTTTGACCTCAACCTTCGTTGATTTAATTTAGTGTAACGAAACATGTAAAAAAAAAAACAAAAAAAACAACAACAAATTGTTTCAGATTTGTGAAACCTTTATTCTATGTTTTCAAGCTTTAACCTCTCCTGAGTTTCCCTTACTTTTTTCTGTAACTGGCGAATGTTTCCCCTCTGTGTATAAACCTGTTTCATTGACCTCATTAAGGTGTCATTACTACTTAATGTACTCCAAACGTGTTGTATTACTTTGCTACAACCCCTGTTTTCCTGTTGAAGATGTCATAATGTAACTCAAGAAACACACAAGTTAATTGATTAGTTTATCTATACATTTTCATTTCAAAGGAAAAAGGAAGAAAAACATGTACTTAAGGCATTAAAATACACATTTTAGGAGTGAGTAATGTTCAGGTTATTCATGCTGGGATGATTAGTCAACACAAAATTAATATCCAACTGTATTTATAATAGATTTTTGCTTCTCAAATGTGAAGATTAGATGCTTTACAACATTGCATTTTTAAATTTTTGCTGTTGACTGTTACTTTGGAGCAAAGCTATTTATTTGATAAAGATTTGAAGTTGTCATGAGGCATTTTAAATTATCAACTTTACTAGAAGACAGTTTATTTCAATCCTGCTGTCCTTTTTAATATGTAATAGTATAAATTAATTTTGCCAGTAATAACAGAAATATTTTAATTATATTGGACATGTGGCAAACAAGAACATGTCTAAAGATGAGAAGAAAACTGCGAAAAACAAATCAAAACAAGTAAATATAATAAAAGGACAATGATTAAACGCCTTAATTTTCCTAGTGTGTGGATATCGACAGACCATGATGATATCGAGAAGGTGGCAAAATCCTGTGGCGCTAAGGTGCACCGAAGGAGTCCTGAAGTGTCCAAAGACTCTTCTACATCACTTGAAACTATCCAAGAGTTTCTCAGGACCCACACAGGTACTTGCACCACGCCAGGCTATGTTTGTGCAAACTGTAGTGTCACAGCAGGTCAGACTTGTATATTGAAACAACAGCAGGGTGATCTTATCTGCCATGTTTGGTTAGTGACAAAGCGCCATCCTGCTGCCGAGGGGAGACGACTATGCTGTTTCATTTTAAAGCACGCCCTATGTTGACTTTGTTTTCACAGAGGTGGATGTGGTGTGCAACATTCAGGCTACGTCCCCGTGTCTCCATCCGTTCCATGTGAAAGAGGCCCTGAAGATGATCACGGTGCAGGGCTTTGACTCGGTCTTCTCGGTTGTCAGGAGACACCAGTTCCGCTGGCAGGAGGTCAAGAAAGACTGTAAGTCAACAGACTGCTGTCCCAATGCAGTGACTAAGAAGTCAAACCTATTTAATCTGCAAACTCACAACCTTTTCAGTGGTTGATGATGTAGACTAAATCACATATACATCTTCGATTTTTCCACCTGCTATGTTTATTGTAAGCACCAAAGCAAACTCCTTGTATGTGTAAACCTATGTGGCAATAAAGCTGATTCTGATTTAGATTGTTTGGTTTTATTGCAACAAAAACAATTTTATGTGTGTTAATCTTGGCCCCCTCCAATGAACCGCTCCAGTCTAAATCACACTAGGGTCCTGTGTTGCATCTCTTTGTCCCTCGTTTCATGTCATCCCTTCAATGTCGCTATCAAGGAGTTGGGGAGGTGGGGAATAAAATATTCACTGTGCCCATCTGTAACTAAATCATCATTTTTAACATTTAATTTACAGCATGAGGTGAATATTGTACTTTTCTCAGCCATAACACAGTCAAACCTTACAGCTAAGATATTGTGCTGCTGTAGTATACCTGTATGTATTGCATTTTGCCCTCATCTAGACCCTTTGCTCATCTGTAAAGCAGTTATACAGTTTTTTGGAAAAAGCTGCATAAAACCCCAAGTATTTGGATAATAGTTATCTGCGTTTCTTATTCCAACTCAGCCTCTTTCTGTAAATACGTAGTGGATGCAAAATAAAAAAAAAAAAGCTGTTTATTGTATTGTAATTGACATTTTAACCCTTAATCTGCCTCTTTCTAGCTCATGAGGTTACCAAGCCGTTAAATCTGAACCCATCCAACCGACCACGGCGTCAGGACTGGGATGGAGAGCTGTGTGAGAACGGCTCTTTTTACTTCACCACTAGAGACCTCGTACTGAACGAGGGACTTTTGCAGGTAATTGGGCAGCACAATTAATTGCAGCATTTCATAATTTTATGTTTCCCTTCTTTTCAGTTCTCTTAAACTTACATGTGACTACTGGTGACCTTTGAGTGTGCGGCATGCATCCATGCAAAGATTTTCTTGAATAACTCTTCTTCTACTATTCACTTTGTGTAATGGCTGCTGCAGTTGTTCTTACTGTGTTTTTTACGCTTTCACATTTTTGTTTTTTCTGTTTCCCTCTCTCCAGGGTGGTAAGGTAGCTTACTACGAGATGGAGCCAGAGTTCAGTGTGGACATAGATGTGGACATCGACTGGCCTGTGGCAGAACAGAGGGTTCGCAGGTGAGATGCACACAAACGCTCTGCACTAGAAAGCAGAGAAAAGGGACAATCACAGCGATTGTCAGCGATACAAATCAGATGGATTACTGCGCTGACAATGAGCTTTCAATCGAATGCTTTAGAGACAGTCCAAAAATGAGTAGGAGTGGCGCAAGGTCAAAGAAGGGGGAGGGTGTTGTACTTTTTCTGTTTGCTGAAGGAAGGGTTGTCTGGCTGTGTGGGAGAGGCAGAGAGGGTTTTTTATTGTCTTCTTTAAAAAAATATATTTGTGTTCTCTTCCTTAACATTTTTTTCTCATATGCAGATGTTATCATAAAAGGCTCAAACTGTTGCGTTGATATAGACAGAGAGTCATATCTTTACGCCTTTTTACTTCTATTTATGTACAGTAGCTTAGTAGTTTGAGTACATCTCATGCTTGTTGACTTACCTCATGTGTTTTTGTGTAAGCTGTTTTTGTCTGTCTGTGATTTTATTTTTCACCTTTTCCACAGGTATGGTTACTTTGGACAGAACACACTAGTTCGTCTGATGTTCTGTAAGGTTTCCGGATGTTTAACAAATGGAAGGGAATCCGGAGAAGAGGAGGACTCTATTAGCAGCAGAGACATCGCAGGCATCTGCATGCTTCTGAAAGAAAACGTGGAGGTTGGAATTTGTCAAAACTCTAAAATGCATACGTGTATTGGCTCTTTATAGGGATGCACCGAAATGAAAATTCTTGGCCGAAGCATAAAGTAAATATAATTAAAAAATTTGCAGAATACCAAACATACATTCATATTTTTCCTTTTTTTTTTTTTTTTACCATTGCATAAATTAAATAGTCAAAATGTCCTTTTTACTTAGTGTTTCGCACAGGATTTGGAGAAACTATGGTGGGTGGGTCCGAGGCCCGAGAGTCCCGTACAAGTAAATTAAATGTGTCCATCTACTTTTCATGTACACATGTAATATGTTTTATACTTATGTAATCCAATTAATCTGATTTCCATACTGTATATTATGGATGTTAAATTTATCAAGTCTGACCCAGTTTGATAAATAATGTTATGTGGTTCTCGGATCACGTAACATGAAGACTTCATAGCCTCTCTTCAGGTAGGAGACTCATACAGCAACACTTGTCTTTGAAAAGACAGAAAATGACAGGATAAAGCCGCTCATCTGCCTGTCAGCTCGCACTGGTCCGTTTCAGTGGATTTACCATAAAGTCTTGCATACGTGTGCACCTCAAATTTAGGTGCGGCTAGCTTAATTGCCTTCTCAGAAACGAGTGACAGAAACACTCAGGTCAGACCTTTTGTTGCCTTTGCTAAGAAGTCAGCCTCAGATGGTGTGGAGACAATTCAGCAGAACAGTGTCTGCAAACGGTGATTCATGCGTCTTTCTCTGACACTTTAAAATGCTTCCACACTGCCGACATGTCAACGTAATTGTTTGGTAAAACTTATTCGGTCTTTTGACTTATTAGACCGAAGGTGCTTTTTTTTGGTATTTTCGGCCAATTAATTTCGGTGGCCGAACGTTCGGTGCATCCCTACTCTTATCATATGGCACTACCTGTTTTTCTCCATCAGGTCGTACTGCTGACCTCCAGCACGGACCCAGTGGCCCAGTCAGTGGCTAAGAAAGTGAGTGAGACGACGGGCTGCAGTGTCATGCAGGTGGGAGAGGAGCCACTGAAAGATTTGGAGCGAGAGGTGGAGAAGAGGGAGTTCAAATGGGAGGAAGTGGCGTACATGGGTAAAGCAGCTCAGCCTTTAAGTATTTACCATAATATAGTTTGGGTCTGTTTTGGCATCCATGACATCCCCCAGGGCTCCGTTCTTGTGCCTCTTCTGTTAAACATCTACATGGATTTATTTTTATACTCATTCAACAAGCATTTGCTTATAGTGAACCTTAACTGCATTGGTTACCACCAGCAGTGTTAGATTCCATCGACATAGACTAATATACAATGAATTTAGATAACTGAAAGGGGCTTTATTAGCATGGGAAACACGTTTACATTGTCAAAGTAAGTGAAAATAAACACGTGTATGTTGGCATGGAAATGGTATGTTGCCAACCGTTTTTGAAGAACTCATTAATAAAAAGAGAATGACAGAAGTACTACTACGTTAATCAGCTTGGCCACAGCTCTGACCTAAACCCTAGTTAATGTGGCCAGACCAAAATAAGGAGTATAGAAGAAGGAAAGGTTAAGGATAGAAACAATATAAAATCCATCCATCGTCAACCGCTTATCCTGTGCAATATAAAATAATAATAAAAAACATGCATAAAAGACTACATATAGGGGAAACAATTTTCTGCTATTACATAGGTAAAATAAATTGATACTGCTATAAGTCTTTAAAAAAAAATAATAATAAAAAAATAAATGTGTGTGAATACAGTCTTTATATATTTCTCTCTTTGCTCCACTTCCCATGTTTTCTGCTCACAGATAACAACAAACCAGATGTCAACTGTCTGAAGAAGGCGGGTGTGAGTGCAGTACCTGGAGATGCTCTGGACGTAGCCCTTGAAGCTGCAACGTACATCTGCAGTAGTGTCCCGGGAATGGGAGCTTTCAGGGAGTTTGCCGAACGCATTCTGCTGCAAAATCGAAGTGCGAATCCAAGAGCAATTGAAGCAGGATTGCAGTGACAGCCCCATGACATGTAAAGGTTTTTAGTTTACTCGTTTCCTTATGGGGGGGGGATTCATTTCCCAATCAGAGTGAAGACATGATTTTAGGTGTGTGTGTGCGCTATTTATTGATGTAATTCTGTATGATTATTTCCATAAATCATTGTTTTTTCACCTTTTGGGGGTGTGGTTGATTTTGTTGAATTGTCTATCCTGAAGTACCAACTGATTTTGTTGTGTGAAGAATTATCAACAAAGTAGTGAAGAAGGCTACGTTCAGACTGCAGGCCTTAATGCTCAATTCCGATTGTATTGTGTCATATTGTGGTTTAAATGTGGCCCACCTCAGACTCCCGTGTGAACTGTCCGCGGCCTGAAAGTGACCCGCATGTGCAGAAGAATAACACGACGTCCCACGCAGCACGCTGTCGGTTACAGAAGTAAACAAGGAGCAACAGAGGGTAGCTTCGGTTAGCTCGCGGGAGACTTCTGTTTTTTGTTGTCCTCTCACGGGTCACATTTCTCCCGATTTATGACAAGTGTTCACAACTTTGTTATTTTCATGTTATTTTTCTGTTTCTGGCGCTGAACAACACAACTGCCCCACAACTCCCTCCCTCTCTCTCCCCACGGCCCGATGGATTAAAAGTTTAAGAAAGGGAATCTGTGAGCAAATGATGGCACGGTAGAGTAGAAAGGGAGCCACATGTATAGTCATGGCTTTTGTGGAGCTTTTTCATTCACTGCGGCTCCGTCTTCAGCAGGACAGTGACAACCACTGCTCTAGAGTGACGTCAAAGTCGTGTCAATTCTGACCTGAGTGTCCAGACTGAGGTTGCATTTAAAAAGACCCAAACTGTGTTGGATTTGGACCACATGGAAGTGGCCCAAAATCCGAACTGGAAAAGATCAGATTCCATGTGACTTGGCCTGTTCACACTGTCATAAAAAGATCGGATTTGGGTCAAATTGGCCTGCAAATCCCACGAGCAGGCCTATTTCTAGGCATATAGCCTAGTTTTAGAACACTTTTCTTTACATTTTCAAGACAGGTTAGCTGTTTCTCCGTTTCCAGACTTCTAAGCTAAGAGTTCCTGGCTATAACTTTATATTAAGCATGTAAAAATGAACGTGGCATTGATCTTCTCTGCAAGAAAGCAAATAAACATATTTCCCAAAAGTGTTTTTACAGTAGAAAACAATGACCCATGAATGAGTTTAACACTAGAGAAAACTACCTAAATTAATTTTGAGTGCGAAATCTTATGACCGTTGGGTGAAAAATCACTTCATTTTTTTTGTCCTTTTACAGAAGCTGTAATGTTAGCTTTTAGACACTTTAGAGCTGCATGGGGGAAAGTCTAGACTGTACTCCTTCTTTTCTACAGGCTATCCAGCTGCTTATGGAGCTACGTGTGATAAAGTAATACCATATGTAATTCCTGTCTCTCTTTGACAAGTTGCAGATCCAAAGAAGGCTATTTAATTCCACTGATTACTGTTACTGCACTGTACATTGGTTGAATCAGAATTATTTTGTTCTGTAGTTTGGCTTGGATACATACAATAAATACTACTTAAAGTGGCTACTGTCTGAATTTGATAACCTGATGGAGGAATAAAAGACCTGGAGTAATGATTACTGTATGTATGTATGTGATTGCTTTCATTATATTTCCCTGTGGGTATATGCTCATGTATAGCCTAGCCTGCATTTAGGCAATATCTACATATTTAATTTATTACAGCCAATGAATGCAAAACGTTGAGTGGGTCAGAATATAGCAAATATGATAAATGTCATGAAATAATTTAGTTTAGGCTCTGCCTTGGGGCCTAGATCTGCCAACTAATGCCTATTGTTAGCAGAAAACAAAACACCCGACATTTCCTTAGACCTGTAGACAAGTACAGACCTCAGCTGCCCTGCCCTGAAATCTCGCTCTCTCTCTCTTAAAATATCTTCCAAAATTCAATATACCTGTGGAATAGCACTATGACATTTAGTTTTCACTGACAACACTATTGTAGGGGGACTGATATTGTTTTGAAATAGCCTACTATAGAGAGAATTATTGTTTTAAGCAATAAATACACATTATTTGTATTATTCTATTGTATTTATGAATATCCTCTCTTCTCTTTGAGTACATGTCTGTACTGTAAAAGTAAATACATTTCATAATTATTTTTCTAGCTTCAGACCCCCTAAAATAGGCCTAAGGACATCTATGATTGTAACACACATATGAGAATATCTGTGCTTTTGCTTTTTGAAAAGCAAAACTTTCTTGTGCATGTGCAGCATCACCATCATTCCACGCCTGACCCCATTTCACACAAAACTTGAAATAAAATAAAATAATTTTATCAAGGGAAAGCGTTGTTTTCACACAGGAAAGTCAGGGTGCAGTGTAATTTCTGTCTTTGCCTGCACATGTGAAAGGTGAAGCAGCATTATCAACTGCAAAGACGGCAGCCGTGAGCGCCAAAAGTTCCAGTTTCACATGTCAGGTTGCTGGGTTGCAAGAAAAGCTATTTAATTAAGATTAGGACTGCCTGCCAATTCTCTCATTTTGAGTTGTTTTCCATGAAATGTGAAGCTACCGCCAGGTGCCGATTAGCTAAACTGCCTCTATGGTATGGTAAATAGTGTTGAGTCGTTCAATGAACGTTTCGTTCATAAGACCTAATCATGTGTATGACTCGGGAGGAAGGGGTTGTCTCAGTGAGTGATTTGTTCATTTTCACGCATGCGTGAAGGATCTTGGACTCTTCGATCACTCGTCACACGGCAGCTGCAAGGTCTCCTTCAGCACAGGAAACAGAACTGATTAGTTCACGACTCTCAACTGTGGGTCTCTAGGTCTGAGTCGTTCATTTGTTACGTGACAGCTACTGTGGAGCAGGAATGAACTACTCGTTCACCACTTACATGGGTCCTCCTCAGTCTTTCGTTCAGAGGTCGTCTCCTCTCCAAAACAAACAGACCCGGTCATTAAAACATTAAAACACATCCACATAGCAACGTTAGCGTTAGCCCTGTGGTGTGTTACAGCTAACAGCTGATCCGGTCCGCCAGAGAGATGCAACGCAACTTTTCCTTTTCATTTACGAACAGAGCCGTGCTGTTGTTTTACAGCTCGTGACTGGTAAACAACCTGGCAATGTTTGAGAGCGATGTGCACATGTGTGTTTCTCTGTCTGCAGAATCAGGACCTGATGTGGCCCATTCTGCGTCCAGACCTGCCAAACTGCTGCGTTTAAATAAATTGTTACTATTTCTCTGTTCCTCTCTGAGCTGGAGTTCTTTAAGAACTTGGTGGCTTGATCCAGATTATTATTAAAGTGGTTGAATTTTAATAAGAGTGTGTTTATTCATATAGTGTATCAAGCTTATTACTTCAGTATATTTACTGCAAATCTGATGAATATTTTACTCATGGATAGGGATGTTAGGCTACTGTATGAATGAGCACTTTAGAGATAATGATAGTAATTATATACGTAAGCCTTTATATGGCTGGTCTGGTTGTTTACTATTCAGGAAAGATTGTGAAAATGGAAGGATTGCATATAGACAACATATTTCTGTGGTTTTTACATGGTTTGAATTTGGTTGTGGGCCCAGGGGTGTTTATATAATGATGATATACAGTAATCAAGAGGTGAATTTGTGCATTATACTTTGTCAAATAAAGCAAGCCTTCCGTGTTTGAAAATGGTGCTGTTTTTTAATTGTCCACTAGAGGGCTGCAGCGCCACAATAACCAGCCTAGTTCAAATGAACGAAATGACTCAAAAAAAGATTAGTTCATTATAATGAACGACATTTGAATGAACGACTCTGTCAAAAGAAGCGAACTTGCCATCACTAATGGTAAAATAAGCTGACCAGCTGCTGGCTGTAGCTTCATGGTTCGAATTACGGGGGAGATGGGGGGGGTCTGAACTTGAACTTGTATTTTATGTGTCTTTAGTTCTGTATCAACACTGTGTTGTTTTGAGCGGTCATGATGGTCTTCTGTTTTGTGTCTGGCAGTTTTGCGCTAGAATACTTGGTGACCTCTGACTACAAAAGTTATGGTATGGGGAACCCATGAACTGGTGTAATGAATTTGATTTATCATCATCTACAGACTGCACACATTAGTTCAATAAGAAAGGATATTGTAAGCTTTGTAACATTTTAATTCACTGATGCCCGCGCCTTTGTTGTACTGGGTTTTCTTTTGGACCCGGAAAAAAAGTTGACCCCCGTTTGTCACTTTATAGTGCACACCCTGTGTAGCTTCATATTTTACATACAAAAAAAGAATAGTATATCTTCTCATCCAACTCTCTGCAATAAAGTTAGTCAAACAATTTCTCTAAAGCTCAATCTTGAGACAATGACCACAGTTTGCAAGAATAATAAATGTCCAGATGAATCAGAAAATGTGATTGTTTTAATAAATGATCAGCATGTCATTTTATATACAACATTATAATCTCTCAGCTGTATTAATAAACTATTCACAGTCAGACAACATATGCCAACAGCAAGTTTTAAAGATGCAATATAAGAATGTAAAGCATGTGAACTGTTTTTGTATGTAAAGGACTTAGGGCGTTTTTTACAGGAAAATCTAAAGGATGTGACATTTATGCACACTTCCGAGTGATTCATCTTCTGCCCTCCTACAACGGTGCAGTGTGCAACACAAGCAAACGTTAGCTTAGAAATTGAGTCCGCAAACATCAACAAACGACTTGATCAATCACAAAATACAGTCCAGCACAAACTCTGATGTCAAAATTAACATTACTGCAAAGCATGTGCAACTATTGTCATATTGTGATTGCAGCTGGCTAATGTTGGCTAACGTTAACTGGTTAATACAGACAAATTGCTAGCTAGCAAACTAGATACGGTCTTGAGTGGATAACGTCAGCTAATTCACCTTGACCTCCAGGGCTGATCTGGCTGGCAGATTGTCTGGTTTGCCGTTTGCAGGTTACTTTGTGGGCTGGCATATCGGGGCGGTCGGCACCAGATCCAAGCAACAGGAGAAGCTATGGTGGGCGACACGCTCCGTCAGCTCTTGTGCTAAATAATACGTAGGGTCATTCTTTTTGTCCAAATTTCACTTATCTTCTTACTTCTAATAAACCTGTCGACTAGTACTACTAGTAGAGGAGAGCCGGGACGATTGAAACACTTTTCAGATAAATGTCATTTTAAAATATAACGTTACAGACAGAAATCATTTGTTGTCATCAACAACTCACGTGTGTGCTCTATCAATACCAGGTGTTATCTTGTTAAAATGTGGAACGACTTCAGTATATCACTTTGAACGAAAGGTACACATAACTAGAACAGCTAATGCACATTTGGATTAGATATTGGCTGCCCTTTTTATGCACATCTGCAGCCTGTTTTCCTGGTCTACTGTGAAGACCCTGTTATTTGGCTGTGAGTGCCAGCCTGCAGCATAGTGGACTCTGTCCCCCGCCTCCCGCCGTATCTAAATAAGGTTGAATGGCTGCATGTCGGGACACCTGTTTCAATCGTCCCGACAGTGACTCCTGACGTTTAAACTTCACTAGCTTCTAAACTGTAAAACTTTGACATTTAAAACTTCAGGAAAGTGTGACGTATCCACCTGATTTTTCCCTGTTCTGTTAAGTTCTGTGGACTGTACGTGCTGAGGTAGTTTGGCATATCAGACGTGTATGGTCTCTGAGAAAATCACTGTGTTTCGTTCGTCCCTCTTTCAACCGTCCCAGCTCTCTTCTACTACTAAAGTTACTTCTTCTTCTTTGTACGTATTTAACGTAGAGACAACACGCGCTCTGTAGAGCCGTTAGGGCAACTGTAGAAACATGGCGGCGCTACATGGTGACGTCCATGTAAGAGGACCCGCGTTGTATGTAGATAGAAACAGCTCATTCTAAGGTAATAAAAACAAACTGTGCATTATGTAAAGTCTTTATACTCCACTGAAAACATACAATGTATATTACATTGTATTTCTGTTAATAGAACCTTTAAGCCATTATGTTACGATTGCTTTCAACGAGCTAATCTAAACTATAAAATTCACTTGCGGCCAAATAGCTGTAACATAACCTAAGCTGGGCTTGGCTGGTGTTCTTTTGCTATGTGCTACCTATCAAGATGTGCAACATAGCAGTTCTTTGCATGCACATTAGACTCTGTCATCAATTTGCACTAAGGTAGCGTTTTTCTACAAAGCAGCATAAATCACTGGCTGGCTGTGCAGCGTTGTTCTGGCGTCAGTTGCTTCGTGGCGTTGGCTGATGGGGTGATTTGCAGACGGCAAGATAGTATCGTAGAGCCTGTTAAAGAATATGCTTAGGGGACTTGTAACAGGGAAAGGTAAGACAGGTCCAGCTTAGAGTCATTAGCTGACCCTGCAAGTGTCCACTGACCTTCCAGCTCTAGTTCTCTCATGTAACTGTCCTTGTTAGGGAGACAACAGTTAGACTGATATGATAGAGACAGTAGCTCAGGCATCAGGCTAGCAGATATCTGTGTTGCGTGGGAATGTTTGTGAAAGATTTGAGTATGAGAATGTTTACAAGAACTCACTGACTCCACAGATTAAGTACAACTCATGGAGAGTAATAGATTCCAGTATGACGTAGCACTGGAGTCTAAACATCAGATAGATAAGTTGTTCTAGGTTAAGGCCAGCTAAAGATGACCTAATAGGGAATCCTACAGGAACTAGGGGGAAAACAGATATTTAGGATATGTTATCCTTCAGATTTGGTGTTGGCATTTGACGTTTTGTGTGCTTGTACTGTATCTACTCGGCCAAACAATATTTCTTTAACAGAGCCGATGGTCCAAAGAAAATAAAGCAACTTTACAAATATAATTCTTTCATTTTCTAGCATTCAGTGTGTTCATGTGTTCATTTCAGTGTTCGGTCTCGCGTATGTCATGTCACTGTTTTGGCCAATGCCTGGGATGTTGAGCAATAGGATGCTCACTGCAGGAAACTTTAATAACAAGAATCCTTTTGAACATTTACACATATAACCTTAAAGAGGCCAACAGTGAATGTTTATATATATTTATATATATAATACAACCATGATTTATGATGATGATGTATATTAAAAAGAGAAGAAGAAACAAGTAACTTTCAGGTGTTGTTCTGTCACTCATTCATGTTTACTGGCGTGATGATCAGAGGCCCATCGTTCTTTCCGGATTTATTAGTGCAGGGGCTGAAGAACGGATAGATGCATTCACTGAAAGTGTCATTGAAAGTGTAGATGTGGAGTTTAGCATCAACGTTGTAAAAAGACACCTGTGAAGAAGAACAACGAGGACATACAACAAAAGAGAAATAGGTACATCTGGTAAAACAAACTGGATATTTGTCAAATTCTGTTCACTTTGTAGAAGACAAAAGTCAAGATTCGTAAAATGTATTTCCCATACTGCACCTGTCCTTTCTCATAGTCCACAAATATCCCAATCTTATTTGGTCGGAGGTTCAGATCGACATCTGTGGATGCTTTAGAGCGAAAAGCGTACTTGTTCCTGAGGAGAGGAATGAGGGTGAGGACAAGGGAAAGTAGAGGATACTTAATTATCAGAAAATTAAATGAAGGTAAAGCATAAGAAATTTGAGTAGGCTGTATCAACTAGGCTATATTCTCTAACATTTCTGTCTGCCTTATCTCTCATTTTTGATATTTTAGTACAGCATACACCCTGCTTAACTTCCGTACTTAGCGAAAAGCAACACCCTTCAAAGCATTTGAAATCAATAATTTGAGAAGAACTGACAGTAGAGAAACAAAGATGGTTGAAAGCTGAGAAGATGATTCCAATGATTGCAAAAAGACATCAGATTGTATGGAAGTCTGTGGCAAAATGAGGCTACTTCTCACTTGATTTGTTACCTCAGAACATAGAAAAAATTCCTAATGAGTTTATGGTCTCCTTTGTTAGTTTCAAGTCTCCTTCAATACAGCATGAGGTTCATTTAGTAAATTATGGTCCCGTTTAGAGGAAAACAGACAATAAAGCAGGGTATGCTTTAGGGCGTGGCTACCTTGTGATTGACGCTATCAGGTCGCTACCACAGCGACCTGTCCATCAGGATAGAGGTGAAATGGTAGCTTATGTGTTGCACTGTGTACATTTAACTAGCCATGAAATTGTTTCTCGTTGCTGTTGGTATGTTCGTCTAAGACAAGGGTTCTTAACCTTTCTGGAAGTCCGACCCCTTTTTGAGGTTTAAAAATTGTATTCTATTGGCAGTGAGCGTTCTGTTATGTTTATGCACCTTGGGTGCCTCACGTTTTCAAAAGAGCGCTCTGAGCACACAGAGTTGAAAAAACGTCAACTCTGGGCAGAGAAGTGACCAATCTTATTCACATTTTTTTCCATTGTCCAATCTAATGAAGAGACGGATCATTTGTGCTGATGGAAGTTTACAGTTGCTTGAATTGTCCGGAGACTCAACAGTCTGTCCCCAACTCATCCTAAAATAAGCCTTAAACCGACCATCATTAAGACGAAGCCCCTGGACCAACTGGTAGGCTACTACCAGCGGTGTCTCCTCTTTCTAAGGTCTCATGTACCCACACGGATCTCCCTTTCCCTGTCTCCTGGTTGTTTGTAGGCTACAACTCTCACACTCACAGTGCCAGAACAGGAGCAATTCCGTTTGTCTATTCTTTTAAAGCAGATATTTTAAACAACAAAAGACACTGTGCGTTGTGATCAAGTTTCTGCTAATATGACAGTTATTACTTAGCAGCAAACCAAAAATTACAGATCACTGGCGCTATAATCTTTGATTAGACTGACAGGACAGCTGATTCGGTGGTTGCCTAGCAACATGATAAAAGGGCAGCGCTTTGCTCTTTTCCAAATTCAACCAAAAAAAGGCACTGCTGTGCGCCTCGCATTTTTGAACCTGTAAAGTGCAAAGTGTTCACCCAAAGTGATTCCATTTACAACTATAGTCCTTCTAGTTATTTTCAAGTTGTTTTAGTTCATTTTAACATTTTGGTCGCCTAAAAATATCTTGTTGAGCATTCAGCTGTAATAAAAAAGACTAATTGCGTTTTCAGACCTGTCAGGCGGTGCGGAGGGGGCACTGCTGGCAACACGAAGGCCTTTGCGGTAATTGAAAATATTCAACTCAAGCGAGAAAGTTGCACGGCGTTGAAATCCGGACGTCACTGACGGCTTCAAAGCATTGTGTGGAGTGGACCAGGCAGAGCAGAGAAGTAAAACTCGGCTGGCCGACGTAGAGCTGCTAAACTGTAGGGAAAAGCTGAGGACAGAGCCGCGCTGCAGTTTTTGGACAAATAAACACCCGTAGTCGGACTGGATGATGCTCTGACAACTACGCCGTTTACTCGCGGTTAGGCGCTCGGAGTAAACTGCTTTTATTAATTATTTATTTATTAGCTTTTTACTTTAGTTTTTGGGATTACAATGTTGATTTATCTTCACTTGAGCTTCTCAGCAGCTAGCTTCCATGCACTTATGGTTCCAGTGTTGTTAGTGTCGTTTGGCATGCAGAGCTCTGTTGGACTACTACTTCATATTTATATAAAAAACGGACAAAACTGGACATTGCTTGGAGAAAAGAAAGCGAGGAGGTTGAACTAACTGGTGATTTCAGAAAACATTTGTAGTAACTTTATTCCAGCTATCGTTGTACTTTACTGTCAACAAGTTAGCATTGCATAGCCCAGCTCGATCCGAACTCTATTCAGAAAACAAACATTTAAAAAGATGTCCTGCTGACAGACCTGACAAAAGCATGAATTCATATTTAACAAATCTGCATCATATTGTAGTTTTTTTCTGTTCACTTTGATCCGTTTAATGCAATTAAATCACAGCAAAATGTTTACTTTGGGTTCATAAAGCTGTTGTTATTGCGAGTTGTGTTTATTTGCGTTATTGCGTTGTGTGTGAACACTTGGCAGTTGTCCGGCGATAAAACCCCTGCGAGGAAAGCGTTGCGTCATGTTTGGTCTGAATTCACAGTAAGGAGTGACACTTTTCCGGAAATTACATTTAGTTTTAAGGCTGTGTTTCGCAATATCACAGTTAACGCTAATTACGGATTCTCCTTACAAACTAGCCAGCTCCGCTCTCACCCAAACCCAAGATGGCAAAGGTCAAAATGCCAAACTCGAGGTTTCAAAATGATAGTGTACAAACCAATGGGTGACGTCATGGTGCTACGTCCACTTGTTTTATACAGTCTATACTCTTTATACTTCCTCACCTGACTTCCTCCTTCCCCCGTCATAATTACTACAGCCACTAGAGGTTGCAGCCTATGGTGAGGACAGGCAGCATATTGAGTAATTAACTGATGACTCACTTGTCTCTTAGGCTGAGGAACCAGTATCCGTTGCTTGGGGTAACTTCAATCGCTCCTTTCCTGTTGATTGATTCCTTTGCCACCCCCAGATCCCAGTCCGTCTTCCCTCCCACCTCCACCTGTTCACAGGAAGTAGGACATTTATACAATCAAACACTGAAATATAGAAAAAGGCTGGAAGGCATGACCGATTTGTATCATTTTTCCATATTGTGGGATCTCCAGAAAATCCGTTATGTTAAGATCAGATAATAAACTTCTAGTAGTAAAATGAATCACATTTAACAATTATCTTTACCCATATGGTTCCTGCCCTCTTGCAGAAGCACTACCACATTTTTCAAGAAAATTACCAGAAAAATCAGGAATTTGTCTGTGTCAAATACATACAATACATAAGGAGAGAGCCTCTTACCTCCCAGTAGTGCCTCCCGGAGAAGATCATCTCCCTCCCCAGGACACAGATAACTCTGTCAAACCTCTCTGGATTGTCTGGAAGCATCTGGTGTCGTTCAACACACCTCACCTGCAGAAACACACCAAAGTTTACACCAAACTTCATCGACAACACAGTCACTGATACAGAAGGCCATTATTCAGCTCAACGCAGCTTTAATGGCTCCAGGTGAAAAAGTGGAAAACAACATTTCAAAATGTATTCATCTATATTCTTGAAACACCAGACTCACATGTGATTTTTGCAAAAAAAAAAAACAATAACAATTTTAGTCATTATTTTTAGACACATTTTCAAGATTACAAATAAATTGCACAAGTTTTGAATCCCTTAAAACTGACTGATAGAGACTCTGCATTCAAAAACAAGCTCACAGATATACAGTAATGATCATACTCAATCTACTCTGAATGATTCATTAATCTGTGATTTATTAATTTAACAGACATCTTACACTCTTCAGGTCCTCTGACATAATCAGTCTGGGATGGGCCGTGTTGGAGTCCAGAGTCACATCCACTTTGTTGATGGAAGAAGAAAAATGTGAAGAATTATATTATTATTCTGTATTTAGTTGTGTCTGTAAGCTGACTTCATGTGCCCGTAACATTGTTTTTCACTTTGAATCCGTGTGAATGTTTACACACCTGCATACTCCTGTACCCTCTTGATCCCTGCAGAAAAACAGTTTCATTAAAACAAGACAAAATGTTAAAACTCACTATTGCACTGTATAAATGTGTCCAATTAACCTGAATAAGGTGGAATGGTCACATGAATATGTGCAGTATGATGTTTAACTGTTTGATGTATGATGCATAGAGTCACTCACTAGTTTGTATCTGGGAAATTTAAGGTGGTAGATATCAATCACTGGTTTATAACTTTATGATTAGCCTATGTAAAGGTGGAGGGGGAGTGGACACTCACTGGGCTGTGTTCGGACTGGACTGGGTGCCAGTACTGAGGCAGGAAAACCTGGAGAAGAACAAGGACACATGCATCAGGAGCTGAACACCTGTAGTAAGTGTAACTCCCAAACTCCTGAATGCTTTTAGGGAATAGTCTTTGTGACAAATAAAGTAATGTTGTTCTGTACTAGTTAGAGCCATTTTTGTTTGATTTGGAAAAGTCATAAATATTTTATCTATTGTAGTAGTTTATCTATTGTTGTGTCTAAAGCTTTTTTTTTAGAGGGGATACTGACTCATCGTCCTCTTCTCTGATACCAAAATCATGAAAATCTTTGTTTAAGATAAAAAAAACCCTGCTCTTTTAAGTCTTTATGTTGACCATCAACTAATACTGACAACCTTTTGCTCAGACTCAATGCTTGCAAGTAAAACAGTTCTTGATTTTAACGGACTTCATGCATTCGTTGTTAGTTATCTTTGAAAACAAGCCTTCTCTTTTGCATTTGACTAACCTGTTTCTGCGATAGTCTTCAGCTGTTCCTGGAAGCTCTCCATCTGAGCTGCCAGCGACCTGTAGATGGTCCCTGTTCCCACGTCGGAGTTCACTGACACCCCAGACCAGTCTTTGGCACGTGGAGGAGTGGAGAGGATGGGGAACGTCTGGAAAGTAGATGGAAATAAGCCAAATCATGCAGAATTCAGCTCTGCTCAGGTTTCCCACAGTGTATGTCTGTATATCATTACATTTGACCTTACGAGATCCTCACCAACCTTGACACAGTGTACGTAGTCTTCTGATTGGGTGAGCTCGGAGAGGGCGTTTTCCCTCCTCCGCAATTCTTCAACCTCCAGCTCCAGCTGTCGTATCATGGCATCGGCCTGGTGCTCGGCCGCCTTCCGACTCATCTCCATCACCTCCATCAGCTCTGCCTGGGAGTGCTCAATGGCAGACACTAGTGCGGAAAACAGGCAAACGCTGCCCGCTGTCTCTCGCTCAACTGTCATCTGGGGAATTAATGAGTCAGTGATCTAAGACCTTTAACGACACTTTTGTTTCCGGCACCAATTAAAGTTTGTACATTTTTAGCTGCATTGAGATTCTCTGAAACACAGAAACATAGTGCCAACAGTGAAGTATTAATGAACACAGAAAGTTTGGTAAAAACTGGTTTAAGTTCTCCAAAAGTGAAAGAATATATTTGAAATTCCTAAATCAATATAATTAACCACAATAACATTCAAGTTAAAAAAAAAATCTTATTTGGGAATATGCCTAAAGATTGGGTAAAACCCCAAAGATTGTCTAAAACCACAAGAATTATGGAATAAATATGCCAATTAGACCTTAAAATTTTAAAATAGACTTGCAAAATTGGGTTAAACCCCAAAAGTCAGTTAAACATTGATAAACACATGAACGTTTGGGTAAAATCCCACAAGTTATTGAATGAATACCCCAAATTAGTAAATGAAATGTACAGTACATGTCAATAATGAAAGAAAAATCCAGGTCAAACTTTAAAATGTAGTGAATGAAACAAAGAAAAACTAAAGAATGTTTAGGGGCAAAACAAAAGTTGAGTAAACCTGAAAATGTTTGTGACAGTGTGTTTATAAAAGCTGATAAAGGAATGAGGGTTTACAGGTTTTGACACACAACTGTGGTATTTACATGAGTGTGTGATTGTGTATGTGTTTCATGTTCATACATCTCGGTGCTTTAACTTGAATGCACAATGTGTGTGTGTGTGTGTGTTTATCTACCTCCAGTTCGGTCACAGACATTCTGATCTCCTCGATCTTCGTGATTCTCTGTCGGATCATTTCCTGGATCTCCTGCTCCGACATACTTAGTTGGACCTACACACACACAAACACACAAACGCACACTTTGAATAGGATTATATACGAATTTATGTTTCTACCTCAGTCCTGAGCATGCAATGGGACATTTTGCATTTTGATGAAACCCAACTTTTTTCAAGCTGGGTTTCCAAAACTACATAAAATACTTAGGGCTTACTTATGGCTGTGATTTGCCCACCTACTATTCTCCCTGTGCTTCCCTACTTCCCTACTTTCCTTGAATCCAATAATCTTACTAGCAGAGAGTGCAGGCACACATGTAGCACTAGTCTCCAATATTGTAGTTTAAGTACGGTAACAATCAATTTAAAAATTTGTCAAGATTTCAAAACACTTGGCGCAGCCTTGTGAACCTCTTCCTGTTTAGCTAGATGTTACTGTTCGGAGGCTCAGGAACTATATTTTATGACATTTTATGAAGAACCACTTAGTCTGGTGGTTCTGACCATACAAATACAACTTAGAGAGTTTTATCCCTTACACAGCAGAGGCCAAAGTCTAGACTGCGTTGTGTCCTAACAGAATTTGCTTTGTTTGGCCAAGATTTCCAAACATGAGAAACTTCTTGCAATGACAGCCATTGTTCTCTGGCTAAAATAAAGGCACTGTAGGGGCCTAAATGCAATTAGCTGATAAATAATTTTAATTTATGTGTTAAACAGTAATTTACATGATTCATTTATGTAGAGGGAATTGGAGGTAATATTTACAGTATGTACAGGTTGATGCAGTTAATATTTACAGTAATGCAAGGAGTTAGTTGTGTATTATCTAAAATGTGTGTGGATAATTTAGAGTGCGTTTTACCTTTAACCGCATGCACCTTTAAGTGCTTTGAATACTCTCACGAGAGTTTATGAAGTTACCTTAGTGGACAGTCAGGCAAGCAGAGAGTGGAGGCTCACAGTTTTTTGACCTTTCTTTCTCCCTCTCCCTTATTTGTCATTAATGAATCATTTTTATTTTCTGTAATATTCCTGTGCGGATACATTTTTACGAGTAGTCCTGTGGATTTACTGATGTGGAATCGGACTAAGGGAGTGGATGAAGCGTCAAGCTAGGGCTTCATTAAGTGGAAACCTACAGACAAAAAAACAAATCTGAATCATTCAATTCAAACATCTTTCTGTTTCTCAGTCCTGTTTTCTTACCTTGGTTTGCATCCATTCTTCTTCGACAGTCACTGTGTCGTGATCCCAGTGGTCCTCTGTCTCACATTCAGGGCAGAGACATACTTGGTCAGTCTTACAGTACCTCTGAAATCAGTGAGAGAGAGTGTTGCAGTGTCAAACCTTTACCTGCCATGAAAATATTAAACAGCCCCACCTTAAGAGGGTATAGACTATTCTTCTTGTTCCTCAATTAAAATAATAAGCTAAGTTCAGTCTGAAATCACAAAAGACTACAGGAGTCTGAAATGCTGAACATCAATGACAGATATTGTTTTATAATGTAGGTTAAAGTATTGTACCACTAATCCTCTGCGGTGGGTCTCACAGACAGGCAGGTTGTGGCTGCTTGCAGCACCACTCACGGTGAACCTTCTCCGGCCGCTGGAGTGGGAGGAACATACCGCCGGCGGAGGAGGTCCATGGTTGTGGTTCAGGGCAGCAAATGGATTGTGGTTTGGTACCGAAGAAGCTTGTGAGGTCGTGACTGGTAAACAGTCAGCTTCCAAGGTAGAAGAAACAGGAAATGAGAGAAAGATCAATGAAACTGATGTTTAAAAATTTATTTTACTGACTTTCTTTCTTTAATGCTGTAACAGGCGTTAGCCGGCAGTACGGCTTGGTGGATTGCAATGTTAGTCAGCTGGTCAGTGGGTCCACCACTTTAGTCTGGAATAAATATCTATTAGGTGGATTGCCATTCATGGTCCCGAGACAATGTTTCCTTATGACTGGATTTTCTGACTTTTCATCCACTGTATAGTCACCAGCAAATACATTCAATTTGTCCAGTACTTTGTTTTATAGTAAAACACCTGCAGAACTAATGCTATTCACATCAACCTCAGTTCTTTGTATTGTACTAATTAGCAAATGTTAACATAACATAACACGGCACACATACCTGCCAAGCATCAACACATTAACATTGTTAAAATGAGCCTATTGAGGCTAGCATTTTTATTGCCTCACAGAGCTGGAGACTGACTGTAGACTCTTCTTGTCTTGTTAAAGATCTGCTGCTATGCAACATAGCTCTGACATGACAGTCATGTATCATCTGCAGAATGTGCAGCTAAACTGAACAGACTGGCTCAGCCACTGTGTGTGATGAATGAACATAGATTTTTGTAGGATAAAATCATCTATACTTTTAGACTCAGTTTGTCATTATTATTTATGTGTAAATTTAATTACATTACATGCATATTAATTGGCAGATATTTCACTTTTTAAGCACTGTAAGTAACATTATATGCCTCTGTTAGAATAAGAGCTAGATGTCATTAAAAATGAAAGTGCATGCCTACCAAGCAAAGAACAATGTACAGTGCTACAGTGAAAGTTATAAGAAAAGACTCCTAAGCAGTATCTTGACCATCACGGGAAACAAAAAGTATTGTTGTAGTTGTAGTTCAATCATCTTGTGGAAAGAAAGGTAACAGTGACTCAAGCATTCAGATCAGTCATCCACTTAAGAGCCACAGTACAAACAATCTAAAAATGTTTATGCTCCCACAGCTTTTTCTACCTCATTGAAAATCATTTAAATGAGCTTCTACCTTTCTGGTCATTTTATAATATGGTTACTATTATAAAAAAATATGTATATAAAATATGGTTGGTTTTCTAAAATGCATTAAAAGACTAATTTTGACATATTGATCTACCTGTCTTAAATTGAGCCTCACAGGTCGGCGTCACTGATGTTTTTGAATGATGTCGAGGCAGCTTCTTCTTCAATTCATCAAATAAGTTGTGGTGTATGCCTCCTCTAGTTCTTCCCCCTCTCTTCTCCTTCACCCCTCCTCCCCCTCCTCTCGTGGATCTGAACTGCTCCGTGATCTCTCGCAGCGTCCTGTTAATGTGGAGGTCTGGTCGCTTCGGGAAGGTCTTCTTACACAGAGGACACTGGTAAACCTGAGACAGCGAGGATGGATGGAGGAAGTGAAAAAAGACACAGAGAAGATAACAGATATAGAGAAAATATGGAATCAAGGGCAGACAGACAAAAAGGAACATGGAACATTTTAGAAAGTGAATGGATTGATTTTTTAAACAATGAGCACAACCTGCCTAATGTACTGTGGTACCTTACAGTCATTTACCAACATACAAGAAATATACAATCTACTTTGGTTTGGTACAAACTGATAAAATTAAGGAAAAGGAAAGAAAGAAAGGGGAAAGAAGGATGGGCAAGGATATTGGGATGGAAAGAAGAAGGCAGGAAGGATGTGCACCAAGAGCAGAGGAACATGAAGAAAAAGGACAGAAGGATGATGTAAGAACACCTCCACACCGTACCTAAGACCGACATTCATGTAAACACACGTTTACTCGTGGAGAAACTCACACACCTTACATCCATCCCAGTATCTGCTGATACAGCTCATGCAGAAGCTGTGGCCGCACGATGTGGACGCGGGGTTAGTGAACACATCGAGGCAGATTGAGCACTGGAACTGCTCGTCAGACAGAAAGCTACCATTTAAGGACATGCTGTGGAAGGCAAAAGAGAGTTGAATCAAGACTGACCAGTTTTTGAAATAACAACAACAACAAGAGGCTATTTTTAAAAAGGTCTTGGACAGAGTTTATTCTTAGGATACTAACTTGTAATTATTACTCCTTACTTCCTCTCAAAGATCTCACTACCCAACTATGTGTTCAAGTACATTTAAAAGAAAACATCTTTCTATTCTGCTGGAACCACAGAGAGTTTTCCAAAAGCTCTTACTGAGTAACCCAGAAATTATGTTCCTATACAATTCATTTTCAACAGCGAACAAGTCTTGAGAGAAATGTAAAGTGCTTTTATTGCCTTCATCTAACCATATGCATCGAAGTCCTGCGCTAATAATTCAGGCAGCATTTACATTTCCCTTAAAAGATAGATAGATAGATAGACAGATATATCGATAGATAGATAGATAGATAGATAGATATATAGATAGATAGATAGATAGACAGATATATAGATAGATAGATAGATAGATAGATAGATATATAGATAGATAGATATATAGATAGATAGATATATAGATAGATAGATAGATAGATAGATAGATATATAGATAGATAGATAGATAGACAGATATATAGATAGATAGATAGATAGATAGATAGATAGATATATAGATAGATAGATATATAGATAGATAGATATATAGATAGATAGATAGATAGATACTTTATTTATCCTGTGGGAAATTAAAGTATCCAGTAGCATACAAAACATACATACATTAAACATACATTAAACCTATATTAAAATAAAATAAAAATAACGTATAGAACAGTAGCCACAGTAAAACAGAACGTAACTTAGGAAACAGGGTTGAACAGACACAACATAGATTCACCCTGTTTGGATTATTAAATTCTGGTGTCAGCTGGTGTTACTTTTTTGCCCAGAGGACAAACCAGGGCAAAAAAACTACTACTGTTCATTCATGAGGGTGGGAATATTGATCGCCACTCCATTTGTCCAACACCTTGGTCAAAGTAGGCCTATCTTAAGAAGGCCAGATCGTCATGGAGTCTGGTCTAGATGGTCCCCAGAGGGTGATCTAAAATGTTTCTGATGAGCACTGACCTTTTGTTAAGTGGTAAAATGTTGCCCTTGACAGATACGTTTGACCATGACGTTATGTCTTTAAATCAAACCACCAGACTACCATTAATATTCACATATTAATATGATCCCTTTCCTCTAACAACACTTTAAGACCAAATATCCACATTTGGTTAAGAATCTAATGTGCAGATTGCCATGAAACTTGCTCAACATATGCATGCTCTTGTAATGTATATTTCTGTGTTGTGCTGGCTTTGAAAACAAGTCTTCTTGGACTATAAATTTAAACCTAAGTGTGGGAGAACTGCAACGGCAAAAAAATGTGCAAGGTGAGAAAAGAAACATGTATGGCAGTCAAAGAGAGCTTAATGGAGTGTTAGTTGACATTATGACAGATAAATGGACACATTGTATAACACACACATGCACCTTAATCACCCCTGTCATCGTAAATCAGATTAGGATGGTCAGGAAACTTTAGGAATGAAGTAGGGCATGTTTCTGTCCTGCATTATCACATAGGGCACACACAGACTTATTTAATATTCTAGTTCCTTTTGCAGGTAACGTATCAGCTGATTCTAAATTTAAATTAAATGGAGCAACACACTTTAAATATCAATTCTTCTGTAATAAGTAATACCAATTCTGCCCCAACACCTTCTCCACACATCCACTGTCTATACATGCTTTTTTGAGTGTGATGGGGGGCTGGAGACTATCCCAGCATGCTGCGGGTGTGATGCATGATACACTGACTATAGCTGACGTGTGTAAGACACAGCTAACATGCACAGTACAGACATTTATTTGAGAACCCAACGGACAATTTCAATAAAACCCAAAGAGAAACAAATTATTATTAAAATGAATCTACTAATTGATTTTAGGTTTAAGATATCTGATTGCACAGTGTAACAGAAATCAAGAATTCAAAATCAAGTCACATGTATGTTAATTAAGTACTACTGCTTGTATGGAATAATATCAAGTAAAAATGGGAAAGTGAACAGCAGAATCCCAATCAGTGGCTATTTGTTTTGGGGTTTCTTTACAAAAAACCCTGCTACCTAAGAGGAACTGCCTAGTTTTTATTAACAACTACCATACTCCACCTATTTAGCATTGCACTCCAAGAACACATTAAATCAATGCAGCAGAACCAGAAATATTGTCTTTTGTATCCAACACATTCTTCTTCCTTGTCAAAACCTGCTGCCTACATTACCCACATTGCACCTCAACTGCTGACAGTTCAGTCGGAGATCCAGGCGTGTTGTGCTAGAAGCAGCTAATGTGGCCTCGGGCTGCTAGCCTAAAGCAGAGAGGGGAGCGTGCTGCAGAGATCTGGGAAGCTAACTTCTATCTAACGCCAAACCACAATCTAACCCCAGATTTCTTTTAATTTTCAGACTTGTAGTCTTCAAGTAACATCACACAGGACAAACATCATATTTCACAAAGCTCCCTCTGACGGGGCAGGCCAGGACAACTTTGTTCATGTATGCAGTACTCCCCAAGACACAACGGTGCATTACGGCCATTGTAGGTTAAAAACTTGGAAAAACTGCGTCATGTATTAAGCAGTTAGGCAGTTAAGAGGGACTGTAATAAAGCTACTTGAAAGAACATGACACATCTTAGTCATTTATAAATGTCTTCTGTTCTTCCCCAGTTTTGGTCTTTGAACAGAAGTTAGTATATCACATAATACAGTTTGATGAAAGTACCTTACATGTGACAGCTGTTGTTATTAACATCTGCATGTCCTAGAGTACAGAGCCTTTAATTCGAAATGCACATCTGAAAAATTGTGTTTATTCTTGTAAATTTGTGACTTTAATCTCACAGAATTTCTGATTTTTCTTTCTCATAAATCAGATGTGAATATTTGCTGATTTTTTTCTGCTTTACATTAGTGTCAGTTAAATGTTTGGGTTTTGAATTTTTGGTCAGTCAAAACAACTTTGCAATAACTGTTTGTTGCAGCACTACTTCATTTGATTACTTTTAACATTCAAGATTAAGTGACATGTGGTAGAAGCGATCTACCTTTACATACAGCACATTGGAAAGCTACTGCAAATCTCAATGGTTTCTGCTCTTGATCCTTGTAAATAAACATTTTCTTGAGATACTTCAGAAAAGCATTTAACAAGAAATAGGAGAGTAAAAGTTGATACCTTTCCTGTTGGCTGTTTGTTGTTGATCTTTAGAGGTCGTAGCTTGATCGCTCACACTCTCACTGGTGAAGTGAGAATGCTTCTCAGGCTGTGAAATATAAGGAGTGTTGTGAGTCCGCCACGCCCACTCACCTGTTTCTCTGTTTCCAACAGGTAAATGTGGCAGGACTGGTTGAGGTGGGAGAACACACATTAAGAGTACCGAGAAAGGCAAATAGCCACAGTCTTAACTGCCAACCTTTGTTTTTCTTGCCACAGACATGTTCAAATACAGTTTCTTGGAAGCATAGGGACAACTTAACTTCCTTTAACAGTGAAATGAACAATTACACAGGCCTGTGTGATTGTATCTTACACGATAATCCTGATTTCTTAGCAAGACATTGTGATTATGATTAGTGAGAAAATGAGTTCCGAGGCCTGATTACTAATAATCACGATTTGATCACAATACACTGTATTAAAGCTGTTCTAATACATCCTGAAAGGGAAATTATGATCTAACTCTGCAGCTCCTCTCAAATCTACCGAGCTTATTTTAGCACCTTGTTGTAGTTTTTGCCGCTTTTCTATCTACAACATAAAAAAAATCAGGCCATACCTCACTCTGTACGCCACCCAGCTTCTGGTACAGGCCATGGTTATCTCTCGCCTCGACTATTGCAATGCCCTCCAAACAGGTCTTCCAGCTTGTGTGGTGAAACCCTTACAAATGGTTCAGAACGCAGCAGCGCGTCTGGTTTTTGATCAGCCCAAAAGAACTTATGTCACTCCATTACTCAGTGACCTCCACTGGCTCCCCGTGGCCTCCAGAAACAAATTCAAGTCACTAATGCTTGCATACAGAGTGACTACTGGGTCTGCACCCATCTACCTAAACTCCATAATAAAAGTTTACCTTCCTTCTTGGCCACTACAACAAATGTCGCCTGGCTCTGCCATCCCTTCACACAAAGCAATCTCTGTTCTGTGCTCTTCTTCTTCTATCCCCTTACAAGTATCTTGAATTAATTGCATTTTTTGTTAACTCTTACTTCTTTCCCTAGGTATGTACCCCATTGATGTGATATGGGCTATTAGCTCTTATTAGTATGTGTTGTCAGTTGTAGATCTCATGATGTACTGATGCTTTGTTGATGCTTGTATGTTGTTCCTCAAATGTAAGTTGCTTTGGATAAAAGCATCTGCCAAAAGAGTAAATGTAAATGTAAATGTTTCCAATGTTTGCTTTCAGCAAAAAAAAAGCTCAGATATACCCACATGTACACTACCTGTCCAGTACCAAACACCAGACAGACACAGTTAGCAGCTAGGTGGTGAAAATAGTGGAGCATTTAGCAGCTAAAGAGCCAGATATTTCCTTCAGGAGATGGTGAAGTCAAGTCAAGTCTATTTATAAAGCACATTTAAAAACAACCACAGTTGGCCAAAGTGCTGGACAAGTTATACAGAAGACATAAAAAATAAAACCAGATAAATTTCAACAGGCCAAACAACAACAATCAATAACATACAGCAATAAGATAAAACAACAACACAGACACAAAATAGATAAATAAAGACACAAGCGCAGATGCCCCTAAACAGACTCAAACGCCAAAGAATAAAAATGTGTTTTAAGTCGAGACTTAAAAGTGTGGATAGTGGGGGGTGATCTAATAATCAGGGGTAAATTATTCCACAGTGCTGGGGCCACCACTGAAAAGGCACGGGCACCCTTTGTTCTGAGATCTGAGTTCTGAAATATAAGATTGGGCCAGTCCATGTAACGCCTTAAAAACAATTAACAGCACCTTAAAATCGATATATCTATATTTGACTGTAACCAGTGAAGAGCAGCCAATATTGGGGATATATGGTCCCTCTTCCTTGTACCACTTAACAATCTAGCAGCTGCATTTTGAACAAGCTGCAAGCTTGATAAAGATGAGTGACAGATGCCAGAGGAATTGCAGTAATCAATTCGAGATGATATAAGAGCATGCAAGACAGTTTCTAGGTCCTTTACAGAGAGAATGGATTTAAGTTTTGCTATGGTCCTTAAATGAACCTTTAACAACAGAGTTTATATGTTTGTCTAATTTTAATGCTGAATCAAAGATAACCCGTAAGTTCCTAGCAAAGGGTTGTACATTAATGGACAGGGGGCCCAGATTTTGTGATAATTCCTCAATTGAGTTTGGGGAACCAAATAATATTACTTCTGTCTTGTTTTCATTTAGTTGGAGAAAGTTGATTGCCATCCAACGGTTAATATAATTTAGACAGTTGTAAATAGACTGTAAGGACTTTGAATCACCTGGCTTCAGAGGTAAGTACAGCTGTGTATCATCAGCATAGCAGTGGTATAATATATTACGTTCACGGAGAATGAAGCCCAAGTGAAGGATATACAAAGAAAATAAGATTGGCCCCAGGACTGAACCTTGAGGTACTCTGCACTTAATTGCTTCTGAAGTAGAGGAAATGTTACCAATGTTAACAGAAATCTTTCAAATAAGAGTGAAACCACTGTAGCGCGACACCCTAGATACCAACCCCTTGCTGAAGGCAATCCAGGAGGATGTCATGATCAACGGTGTCAAAAGCCATGCTGAGGTCAAGCAAGAGTAAAATAGCACAATTTCCAGAATTACTAAACAGCAATAAATCATTTAGTACCTTAAGCAGTGCTGTTTCTGTATTGTGATGTATCCTGAAACCTGACTAAAAAAGTACTTTAAAGAATTAATATGTTGTCTCTTAATCGGTCTCTATTGGCAGCTATAAAGAATAACAATGAATTACGATGGCCTGACATAACATTTTAACACCTGATATGACCTAATATGGAGAATGCATGTTTTCTGCTTGTTTTTTTAATTAAATTGATTGCGTAATGTCCGTTGTCTGCTCCCCCCGAGGCTCATAATTTATGTCTTAAGAACTGTTATGATACCACAACAGGCAATTTAACGACATTAACATCATCATGGTCTGTTTACAGTATGCAGTTCTACGTGACACAGGCTCAGTCAATAAACGTTATCGACTCTTCACGATCGATATGGAGCCGTGGGAATGGTGCTTTCTGCCACCAGCATGTGGCATTGTGTTATTTGGCACCTTGTCAACTCACAGTCTGTGGTTTTATGTGCTTGAGTACATTTGTTTTTTTTTTTACTTTATTCATGTGTGCACCTGTTTGAACCAGTGGCATCTCAAAATGTTCACGTCTCTCATTCCTTTCGGCTGATGATGCGCTACTTTAAGAGATAAGCAGACTCTCAAACAGAGTGTCCCCAAACAGGGTGCTGGGCTTTCTTAAAAAAACACCTTGTGTGTTTAAGATCTTCAACTTTTCATGAGTTACGATAAATAAATTTCCCCACAATCTTCAAATATTAAGTTTAAGAAGTAGCATAATTAATTAGTAAGTTAGTCATAATTAGTAGCATAACAAATTTGGAGATACGTGATTTTCACTTGACAGCAATAATGTTGGTCCTTTTGACCTGTTACTGTGTGACCCCTAATATTCAGGCAATTGTTGACAAATTCAACCAAGTCCAAGTCAGTACATCCAGTAATGTTCCTACCTTAAAAGTATTATCACACGTGTATCCCCAGGTTGTGTTAGAATCATTTGTAAAGCTAAAGTATGCCAAAGGTCACACACAGCCTGTGACGCTCCAAAGCAACAAGTTAAAGTTTTTCGCTCCTCTCCGTCTGTTTGGTTGAATAGATTGAATAAGGTTGAATTATGTGCTCCATCTATTCAACCCCAGGTCAAGATTATTTATTTTGTTTCAAACTGTTCCTACTTTAGAATGTATTACATGTGATGTGCTAATTACAATGTGACTTAGGTGAGCATTAAAGGTCAACATCCAATAAGATGGTTACACAAATTGAGGTCAGCAGTGAATGACTCCATAGGGACCAAGTAGGGATTTCCAGAGGATGTTTAGGTATTACATTGTGTTCTCACTTTGCATGGCTGTTGCCGTGGTCGAGCTTCAATAAATATTGTTGTGTAAGACATCCGCAGTTTCTTGAAACTTCTTCATCAACACATTTGTCATGTCTGTCATTCCTTTAGCTATTGATGCGCTACTTTCAGAGAAAGATAAATGGACTCTCAGACAGCGTACCTAAACAGGTTGCTGAGCTTTGTTAAAAAACACCTTGTATCTTCAAAATGTCAGCTTACAATGAGTTATGAAAAACATTTTTCAGATGTCCCCACAATATTTAAATGGTTTATTAAGCGGAGGAAGTAGCATCATTTTCTCAGGCTGTATAGGATATTTTAAATTTACACTGATCTGAAGATGTGTGATTTTTACTGGACAGAACGATGTTGGTCTGTTTGACCATACACGCACTTGTTGACAAAGTCAATCAAGTCCAAGTCAGTACATCCACATTATTCCCCAAAATGTGAAATTGCATAGAAAATTCACATTCTCTCAGCTCGTTTCCTCCTAGTATGATTTACAGACGTGTGATCAACCTGTAATCATGATACTACTACAACATTTCACTCTGAAATGTAGTTGTCAATTAGTTTGAACCAACATCAAAGGAAACATTCAAGAACAAGTACCTCATAAAGAAGGAATGTTCCTTCTTTCAGGGTAATGTCACACGTGTTTGGCCATGTTAGAGTCATTTGCAGAGCTAAAGTAAGCCAAAGGTCACACACAGCCTGTGACACTCCAAAGCAACAAGTTGAACTCTCACTCTTCTTCATCTGCCTGTCTTGATAAGGCTGAATTCTGTGGTCCATCTATTCAACCCAAGGTCAAGATTGGCTTTATTTAATTTCAAACAGGCCGACTGTCTCCCCTTTAGAAGGTATTACACGTCACGTGCTAATTACAACGTGACCAAGGTGAACATTTGAGTTCAACAACCAAAAAGATTGTAACACAGTAGGCCAGTAGTGATTGACCCTTTCATTCAACTCATGAAAAGTTGACATTTTGAAGACACAATATGTTTTTTTATTAACAAAGCCCAGCATCCTGTTTGGGTTCACTCGTTCTGAGAGTCTGCTTATCTTTCTCTGAAGAGGCGCATCATTAGCTAAAAGGAATGACAGACACGAAAAATGTGAGATGCCACTGGTCCAAAAACTGGCACACACGTGGAAAA